GTCCCCTTGGCACGTCTCGCGGTGCGTCCCCGTGGCACGTCCCCTGGCACGTCGCCTGGCGCGTCCCTTGGAACGTTCCGCGGCGCGTCTTCCTGGCATGTTTCCTTGTCAATTAGCTCTGCGGCAGCTACTGCGTGGACTATGTGCTCAGGCAGCTCGAGCTTAAGATCCAGATCAGTTCGGTCAGGACTCGGATGCAACGGAGGACTCGATCCACAACGCTGTAGAGCACAATCGCGGCATGGCACATCGCAGTTCAGCACGGCGCAGCACAGCACAGCCCGCGGCACGGTACATCAAGATCGATACACTCACTCAGCATTGCAACTTGGCACGTTCTTTGGCACGTTCCGTGGCGCGTCCTGTGGCGAGTCCCCCTGGCACGTCGCGCGGCGCGTCCCCTGGCACGTCCCGTGGCACGTCCATAATGCATTGGCACGTTCCGTAGCGCGTCCCCTTGGCACGTCCCGCGGTGCGTCCCCATGGCACGTCCCCTGGCACGTCGCCTGGCGCGTCCCTTGGAACTTTCGGCGGCGCGTCTTCCTAGCATGCCCCCCGTGAATTAGCTCTGGGGCAGCTACTATGTGCTCAGGCAGCTCGAGCTTAAGATCCAGATCAGTTCGGTTAGGACTCGGATGCAAAGGAGGACTCGATCCACAACGCTATAGAGCACAATCGTCACGTGGCACATCGCAGTTCAGCACGGCGCAGCACAGCACAGCCCGCGGCACGGTACATCAAGATCGATACACTCACTCAGCATTGCAACTTGGCACGTTCTTTGGCACGTTCCGTGGCGCGTCCTGTGGCGAGTCCCCCTGGCACGTCGCGCGGCGCGTCCCCTGGCACGTCCCGTGGCACGTCCATTGGCACGTTCCGTAGCGCGTCCCCTTGGCACGTCCCGCGGTGCGTCCCCATGGCACGTCCCCTGGCACGTCGCCTGGCGCGTCCCTTGGGACGTTCTGCGGCGCGTCCTCCTGGCATGTTCCCTTGTCAATCAACTCTGGGGCAGCTACTAGTTATGTGCTTAGGCAGCTCGAGCTTAAGATCCAGTTCAGTTCGGTCAGGACTCGGATGCAAAGGAGGACTCGATCCACAACGCTATTGAGCACACTCGTGGCATGGCACATCGCAATTCAGCACGGCACAGCACAGCCCTCGGCACGGTACATCAAGGTCGATACACTAAGCATTGCATTTGCCCGTCGCCCAATCAGGTGTCTTTGAAACGTTGCCATGTCTTACATTTCTATATTCCTTTCCGGGTTCGTGGGTCGATCATGTTCCCGGAAAGGGCTCGAGCCCAGGGTTCTCTTTTAGAGGTTTACCCCCAGATCTGACGGCTGTAGGGCCGGCGAAATTATTCTGCGATGAATTACGTGCGGGAGTAGGGCCGGCGGAATTATTTTTGAGGATGTCTCGAGCGAAACGCTTGTTTTTTCAGAATTTGTTGAGGATCTCTCAGGCGAAACGCTGGTTTTGCAGAGTTGGGGATGTCTCGAGCGAAACGCTTGTTTTCAGAATTTGTTGAGGATGTCTCGAGCGAACGCTGGTTTTGCAGAGCCGACCGCGACGCGGAAAAGCGCCGCCCCTCGCGCAGGAATTCCGAGGATGTCTCGCGCGTGCCGCGTCCCGCGCGCAGGAATTTGGATTTCTTTTGATTTTGACAGGATGTCTCAAGCGAAACGCTGGTTTTGCAAAATTGGGGGATGTCTCGAGCGGGGGCCGCGTGGGGGGCCAGAATTCAGAGGATGTCTCAGGCGAAATGCTTGTTTTCACGTCCCGCTCGTAGGAATTCTGAGGATGTCTCGCGCGTGCCGCGTCCCGCGCGTAGGAATTCGGATGATTTTGACAGGATGTCTCGAGCGAAACGCTTGTCCCCAGCACGTTCCGTAGCGCGTCCCCTTGGCACGTCCCGCGGTGCAACCCCATGGCACGTCCCTTGGCACGTCGCCTGGCGTATCCCTTGGGACGTTTCGCGGCGCGTCCTCCTGGCATGTTCCCCTGTCCATTAGCTCTGGGGCAGCTACGATGTGTTCAGGCAGCTCGAGCTTAAGATCCAGATCAGTTCGGTCAGGACTCGGATGCAAAGGAGGACTCGATCCACGAGGCTATAGAGCACAATCGCGCCATGGCACATCGCAATTCAGCACGGCGCAGCACAGCACATATTTCGGCACGGTACATCAAGATCGATACACTCAGCATTGCAACTTGGCATGTTCCTTGGCACGTTCCGTGGGGCGTCCTCGGCGAGTCCCCCTGGCACGTCGCGTGGCGCGTCCCCTGGCACATCCCGTGGCACATCCATTGGCACGTTCCGTAGCGCGTCCCCTTGGCACGTCCCGCGGTGCGACCCCATGGCACGTCCCCTGGCACGTCGCCTGGCGCATCCCTTGGGACGTTTCGCGGCGCGTCCTCCTGGCATGTTCCCCTGTCCATTAGCTCTGGGGCAGCTACTATGTGTTCAGGCAGCTCGAGCTTAAGATCCAGATCAGTTCGGTCAGGACTCGGATGCAAAGGAGGACTCGATCCACGAGGCTATAGAGCACAGTCGCGCCATGGCACATCGCAATTCAGCACGGCGCAGCACAGCACAGCCCTCGGCAGGGTACATCAAGATCGATACCTTCAGCATTGCATTTGCCGGTCACCCAATCAGGTGTCTTTGAAAACGCTGCCATGTGTTACAGTTCTATATTCCTTTCCGGGTTCGTGGGTCGATCCTGATTTTTTTTCCCCCGGAAAGGGCTCCGTCCCAGGGTTCTCTTTTAGTAGGTCAACCTGTCCCCGGTGCCATGCGGGATGTGGGCCGGCGGAATTATTTCCTGATAATTTTCGAGGTCAAGGTGGGCCGGCGGAATTAATTGGATGTCTCGAGCGAAACGCTTGTTTTTCAGAATTTGTTGAGGATGTCTTGAGCGAACGCTGGTTTTGCAGAGTTGGGGATGTCTCGAGCGAAATGTTTTTTTTTTTTTATGAAAAAAACAAAGTTTGTTGAGGATGTCTCGATCGAAACGCTGGTTTTGCAGAGCCGACCGCGATGCGGAAAAGCGCACCGCGCGCAGGAATTCCGAGGATGTCTCGCGCGTGCCGCGTCCCGCGCGCAGGAATTTCGAGGATGTCTCGACTAACTCGTTTGTTTTGCCAGGAGTTCTTTGAATTTTGGCAGGACGTCTCAAGCGAAACGCTTGTTTTCATAATTTGTTGAGGATGTCTCGAGCGAAACGCTGGTTTTGCAAAATTGGGGGATGTCTCGAGCGGGGGCCTGTGAGGGGCGAGAATTCAGAGGATGCCTCAGGCGAAATGCTTGTTTTCACGTCCCGCTCGCAGGAATTCCGAGGATGTCTCGCGCGTGCCGCGTCCCGCGCGCAGGAATTTCGAGGATGTCTCGACTAATTCGTTTGTTTTGCAAGGATTTCTTGGGATGTTGACAGGATGTCTCGAGCGAAACGCTTGTTATTCAGAATTGGTTGAGGATGTCTCGAGCGAAACGCTGGTTTTGCAAAATTGGGAGGTGTCTCGAGCGGAGGCCTCGGGGGGGGCCAGAATTCAGAGGATGTCTCAGGCAAAATGCTTGTTTTCACGTCCCACTCGCAGGAATTCCGAGGATGTCTCGCGCGTGCCGCGAGGATGTCTCAGCTAATTCGTTTGTTTTGCCAGGATTTCTTTGAATTTTGGCAGGATGTCTCGAGCGAAATGTTTGTTCTTTTGATAATTTGCTGAGGACGTCTCAAGCGAAACGCTGGTTTTGCAACATTGGGGGATGTCTCGAGCGGGGGCCTCGTGGGGGGCCAGAATTAAGAGGATGTCTCAGGCGAAATGCTTGTTTTCACGTGCCGCTCGTAGGAATTCCGATGATGTCTCGCGCGTGCCGCGTCCCGCGCGCAGGAATTCTGAGGATTTTGACAGGATGTCTCGAGCGAAACGCTTATCCCCAGCACGTTCCGTAGCGCGTCCCCTTGGCACGTCCCGCGGTGCGTCCCCATGGCACGTCCCTTGGCACGTCGCTTGGCGCGTCCCTTGAGACGTTCCGCGTCGCGTCCTCCTGGCATGTCCCCTTGTCCATTAGCTCTGGGGCAGCTACTACTATGTGTATCTATGTGTTCAGGCAGCTCGAGCTTAAGATCCAGATCAGCTCGGTCAGGACTCGGATGCAAAGGAGGACTCGATCCACGAAGCTATATAGCACAATCGCGGCATGGCACATCGCAATCCAGCACGGCGCAGCACAGCACAGATTTCGGCACGGTACATCAAGATCGATACACTCAGCATTGCAACTTGGCATGTTCCTTGGCACGTTCCGTGGGGCGTCCTTTGGCGAGTCCCCCTGGCACGTCGCGTGGCGCGTCCCCTGGCACATCCCGTGGCACATCCATTGGCACGTTCCGTAGCGCGTCCCCTTGGCACGTCCCGCGGTGCGACCCCATGGCACGTCCCCTGGCACGTCGCTGGCGCATCCCTTTGGACGTTTCGTGCGCGTCCTCCTGGCATGTTCCCTTGTCATTAGCTCTGGGGCAGCTACTATGTGTTCAGGCAGCTCGAGCTTAAGATCCAGATCAGTTCGGTCAGGACTCGGATGCAAAGGAGGACTCGATCCACGAGGCTATAGAGCACAATCGCGCCATGGCACATCGCAATTCAGCACGGTGCGGCACAGCACAACCCTCGGCAGGGTACATCAAGATCGATACACTCAGCATTGCATTTGCCCGTCACCCAATCAGGTGTCTTCGAAAACGCTGCCATGTGTTACAGTTCTATATTCCTTTCCGGGTTCGTAGGTCAATCATGTTCGTTTTGTCGTTTTGATGAATGGCGGCATCGCTTCGTTTTCGTTTTCGCGTTGCACCCGCATCGTTCTAAATAATCGTCCTCATTTTTCGGAGTCGTTCATTCGTCCCTTCTAAACGCAGGCGCGTTCTAAACAGCGTGGTGTTGGGTCCTTGATGAAGGCTGGCAGCCTCGGCGACATGCAGCCCATGCTGCACCCCCAGGGGGTCCAGATCCTGTTCTGCCAGGAGTCGCTGGAGGGCGGAGACGTCCACGCGATCGTGGAGCTGGCCAACGCGGACGGCAGGGGCAGCGCCTCCCTGTCCCTGCAGCAGGCGGAGGTGCTGGCCGCGCTCGGCGACAGGGTGACGCGGCTGCTGATGCGCCTGCAGGAGGCGCTCGCGCCGCGCTGGAAGGCCAGGCAGGTGCCGCTGAGCACCCCGCAGCATGCCAGGAGCACCCGCGCGGAGTTCGTGCAGCTCTTCCAGATGGGGGGCCACACGCGAACCCTGCCCCTACCCCCCAGCGATTTCTGAGGGAGAGGGTGGGGTTCACTTCGATCGGGAGCTCCGAGCGAAGTGAACCCCACCCTCCCCCTCAGAAATCGTGGGAGGTAGGGGTAGGGTTCGCATGTGGCCCCCTTCCAGAGGGAGCGCCGAGAGGAGCTCAGCCTGACGCACCTGCCGGCCCTGGACGCCACGGCCGGCGAGCGGCTGCAGACCCTCTACGACGTCTGCCCCGAGACCGTGCTGACCAGGTTCAGCAGGGAAAAGGACACTTCGATGCTCGTTCTGGGGACCTTCCTGGAGCCCACCTAACGGATTTGTTCGACCCCAGTTCGACTCAAGTTCGACTCAAGTTCGACTCAGGTTCGACTCAGGTTCGACTCAGGGTCGACCCAACTCGACTGACGTTCGACGCAGCTTCGACGCACGAGTGGAGCGAGTGGCTCCAGGAAGGTCCCCAGAACGAGCATCCAAGGACACGCAGACACAATTCATTGTCGATCCCCAGGAGAATCTGCGAAAGTATGGGAAGCGGGGGCAAAGACGAAAACACCCAGAGAGTATCAGAAGATATATGGGGGGGATCCTCTTTTTTTTGTGTGTGTGTGTTGATTTGTGTGTCCCAGGGCCCCTCTTCACAGGTGGGCGGCGTCGGTGATCGAGGATGCCGCGGAGGCTGCTGGCGGGTGGCTGCTGTCCTTCCAGCCCCCGGCGGCCGCGCCCGTGGAGGGGAGCGTGTGGCGGCTGTTCGGCTGGCAGGGCGGCCAGGGCGACCTCCAGCCCCAGGAGCGGGGAAGCGCAAGACTCGAGCAGGCCGGAACTCGGGCTCGCCGACGTTTGCGGGCGAGCGCGCGCATCGATTCTGACGGTCGAGTCTTCGTGGGACGTATGCAGCGGGAGCTCCCGTCAAATTTCAGACGGGGTCTCGTCATCTTTCCCGGAAAGGGCGTCGGCCCAGGGTTCTCTTTCAGTTTTGTTTTCCCCCAGTGCCATGCTTGAAGGAGGCCGGTGAAACTTTTTGCGATAGATAACGAGGTGAAGTCCCATTCGGCGTGGAAAAAACTGCGTTTCCGGCGTGCCCGCTCGAGGAAAATGCGCCCCCCACGTCGGATCCTCGTTGCCTCATGGGGTCCGCAGGCCCCCGCTCTCCCTCGTAACAACAAGGTTGCGGCGCGTTTTGCGCAGAATCCCAACTAAATAAGGAGGTTCGGAGTCCCGACCAGGACACGAAAAACGTGAAAATGCAGATTTGTTGCGTGCCCGCTCGAGGATGGCGCATCCTGCGCGCAGAGATTCTGGGAATATCTCGATCAAAACGCTCGTTTTGCACAATTTGAGGGGCTTGGGCTCCAGGATGCCCAGGGGGTTCTGGCAGCACGAGCCCAGTGTAATTTACGAGGAATCGCGGCCTTGGGAGCGCAAATCCAGCGTAATGTACGAGGGCTCGGGGCCCTGGGAGCGCGTATCCAGCGTAATTTACGTAGCACCCCGCAGTTGCGGATAAGAGTGAGGGGGCGGCGGGGACGTCTGCAGTCTGCGAGGCTCTGAAGAAGCCCGCCGCAGGCGCCGATTTTTTGTTGAAAACAATGTGGGTGGGTCGCGGGTTGGGTCGCAGGTGGGTCGCGGGTGGGTCAACGGTGGGTCGCGGGTGGGTCGCGGGCCAGGTTGTGAGTGGGTTGCGGGTGGGTCGCGGGTGGGTCGCAGGTGGGTCGCGAGCGGGTTGCGGGGTGGGTCGCGGGTGGGTCGCGGGGTGGGTCGCAGGTGGGTCGCGGGTGGGTCAACGGTGGGTCGCGGGTGGGTCGCGGGCCAGGTTGTGAGTGGGTTGCGGGTGGGTCGCGGGTGGGTCGCAGGTGGGTCGCGAGCGGGTTGCGGGGTGGGTCGCGGGTGGGTCGCGGGGTGGGTCGCAGGTGGGTCGCGGGCCGGGTCGCGGGGGGGCGACGACAACAAACAACAACAACAGCAGCAACAACAACAACAACGACGCAACAAGCAGAATCCTCACCACGGATCCGCACTTAAGCCACGAACCCAGGGACAATGAATGACCGTTCGGGCCCCTCATTCTGGGAGTGCGGGGGCTACGTAATTTACGAGGGGGTGCGGCTTTGAGAGTGCAAAACCAAGGTCATGTAACAGGGATCGCGGCTTTGGGAGCGCAAGTCCCGCGTACATTCCGAGGGATTGCGGTCTTGGGAGCGCGGGTGCCGCGTAATTTACAAGGGATCGTGGCCTTGGGGGCGCGGGCGCCACGTAATTCACTAGGGATCGTGGCCCTGGGAGCGCGGACGCCGTATAATTTACCAAAGGTCGCGGCCCTGGGAGCGCGGGCGCCGCGTCATTTGCCAGGGATCGTTGCCTTGGGAGAGCGGGCGTCGTGTAATTTACGAGGGATCGTGGCCGTGGGAGCGCGGGCGCCGTGCAATTTACGGGGGATCGCGGCCCTGGGAGCGCGGGAGCCACGCAATTCACAAGGGATCGTGGCCACGTCCCTCCGTGGGCCAAGCCGTCGGCGCCAAGCTCTGAGGGGGGGGGGTTCTGGATGCGCTTCTCCCTCCCCCCCCTCCTTTTTCCTGTTTCTGGACAAGCTTCTCCCTCTTCCCCCCCCTGCGGCGCGAGCCGCGAACCCGCCGAGAGGGGGCAACATGGCCACGTCCCCCTGTGGGCCAACCCCTCGGCGCCAAGCTCTGAAGGGGGGGTGCTCTGGATACGCTTCTCCCTCCCCCCCCCCTCCTCCTCTTCCTCGTTTCTGGATGCGTTTCTCCCTCCTCCCCCCCCTCTTCCTCTTCCTCCTCCTCCTCCTCCTCCTCTCCCCCAGGGTCTCTCTTCACCTCTGTGTGTTTCTCGACGGCCATGCCCTCCAGAGCTTCTGCGATCAGGCTCCAAACTGCGAAGCGCGTGTCCTTCAGAGCCTTGTGACAGCGCGGCGCTGTGGCCGCTCCCGGTGGTGACGCCGCCTGGGGGGAGCTCGCGGCGGCCCTCGGCGTCCTCCTGGCATGTCCCCCTGTCAATGAGCTCTGGGGCAGCCCTCCTCCTCCTCATCCTCGAGCTCGAGCTCCTCCTCCTCCTCCTCCTCCTCCTCCTAGCCCTCGGGCAGCCACTATGTGCGCAGGCAGCTCGAGCTTAAGATCCATATCGTTTCGGTCGGAACTCGAACGCAAAGGAGACACGATCCACAGCGCTGTATGGAGCACGATCGCGGCGTGGCACGTCGCAGTTCGGCACGGCGCGGCACAGCACAGCCCTCGGCACGGTACATCAAGATCGATACACTCAGCATTGCAACCTGGCATTATCCCTGGCACGTTCCGTGGCGCGTCCCGTGGCGAGTCCCCCTGGCACGTCGCGCGGCGCGGGCCCCCTGGCACGTCCCTTGGCACGTCCATCGGCACGTTCCGTAGCGCGTCCCCTTGGCACGTCGCGCGGTGCGTCCCCATGGCACGTCCCTTGGCACGTCCCCTGGCGCGTCCCTTCGGACGTTCCGCGGCGCGTCCTCCTTGCATGCCCCCGTGTCAACTAGCTCTGGGGCAGCTACTATGTGCTCAGGCAGCTCGAGCTTACGCTCCAGATCAGTACGGTCAGGACTCGGATGCAAAGGAGGACTCGATCCACAATGCTATAGAGCACAATCGCTTCATGGCACATCGCTATTCAGCACGGCGCAGCACAGCGCAGCCCGCACTCAGCATTGCATGTGCCCGTCGCCCAGTCAGGTGTCTTTGAAACGCTGCCACGCCTTAAATTTCTATATTCCTTTCCAGGTTCGTGGGTCGATCATGTTATGATGGCCCCGTCAGGCTAACCCGAGTCCCCCGTACCCGAGTCTTACGTCTCCCCGACAGGACCTGGTCAATAGCCTGCGCAGGGAACGGGAGATGCTGGACGAGGAAGTGCAGCTGCCCAGCGCCCTGAGTTTCCTCCTCGCGATCGACTCCTTCATGGTGAGGGTTGTGCCGGGCCCCATCGAGGATGTCATCCAGCTTGAGCTCTTCGGAGGCAAAGTCGACGCCAAGATCGCTCATGGCGTCGACCACAAGGGGCTCGTGGCACCTTCTGCGGATGTGAAGGTGGACATGCGGGGCCTCGGGATGACGCAGGGCGCCAGGTCCGTCCTCAGGTTCAGGGGCGACGGCCTGCAGGTGGGCTCGTCGAGCGCACCCGCCTTCGGCCTGAGGCTGAAGAACGAGCTCGGGAAGGAGCAGACGGTCATGAGCCTGCACGTGCACGGCGAGCCGATGGAGATAGACCTGCTGCCGACTCTCGTCCCGAGTCTGATGCGGTTCCCGCAGGCCCCCGCGGTGATCGACCTGACCGCGTCGCTGGCGCGGCTCATGCTGCTCAAGGACGCACAGCAGGCGCGAGTCTCTGTCAGCTCCGTGAGCGGGGAGCACACTCCCGGAGACAGCCACGACGCGAGGGCCGTCGACTTCGCGCCAGCTCCGCGGACATCGATTCCCACCGTGCCAGAGGAGCAGGAGAGTCGCTCTGGGTCGCCCTCGGCCCGCCCGAGCGGCAGCTCGGCAGAGGTGCTAACAGGGAGCTTCCGCAAGAGCGAGGAGTGGCTCGAGAGCGACAATGCGAAGAAGGCTTTCGACATCGCCGTGCAACGCTTGCCCGACGCCTTCGTCCTGGGCCTGAAGCTGAACGGGCCGATTATCAGGGTGCCCTCGATGCTGGGCAGCTACGTCGAGCTCTCCCTCGGGCTGCTCGAGCTCCACACGCCCCGGGCCTGCACCCTCGAGGACCTGAGGGTGGAGACGCAGCTGTCGAACCTGGGCCTGGTGGTGGTGGACGACAACAGGCTGAAGCACGAGGTGATCGCGCCCGTGTCGCTCAGGACGACTGCCCGGGGCTGGCCCGGGTCGGTGCGCGTCCAGGGTCAGATGGGCGGGCTGCGGCTGAACCTCTCCGTCCGGGCGGCGCGCGTCCTGGCCGCGGTTCCGCGCTCGGTCCTCGCGGCCCTCTGCCTCGACCTGGCCAGCCTCAAGAAGATTGAGCAGGCCCTCGAGGTTCTAGAGAAGGGCTTGGAGGAGTTTGCCGAGGGCGTTGCCGAGGGCCTCGAGGAGATCGTGGATGAGCTGGACAGCCCATGCAGGAGTTCGAGGGCGGCGACATCGTCATCCAACGCGTCCAGGCCCACCTTCAGTCTCCGCAGGAACAACATGCGCCACCGCTCATCGCAGGCGACTAGTGGCGTCGCGGAGGAGAAGCGGCGTCTGAAGAAGATTATGTCGAATGTCTTTGACATCGTGATGTCCATGGATATTGTCGAGCAGGCCAGGGCGGAGCTGGGGAAGTGGGCGGACACCGAGGCCGAGGTGATGTTCAAGCTCGCCAAGTCCACCGTCCAGCTGTTCGACTTCACCAACCCCGTGATCCGCCTGCAGTGCGAGATGCCAGAGGCCAGGGTGTCGAGCACCCTCGATGCGAGCAAGGTCGCCGCCGCCGCAGACCTGCAGCTCGCCCTGGACGCGTTCAGCCTGCGCGTGGGCCGCTTCGAGCCGATCTTGGAGCCCTTCCACCTACGCGGCGACTGCGGCATCTCCCAGGACACGTGCGCCGTCAAGCTGGTGGGCCAGAGGCCGCTGCGCCTGAACGTGTCGCCCTCGACCGTGCAGGCGCTGGCCTGGTATGTCCCCTACTTCCTCTCGATGGTGCAGGAGGCCCTGGAGAAGGACCCCGAGACATCAAAGGTCAGCCGGTACCGCACCCTGAACCTCACGGCCGAGGCGCTGCCGCTGAGCTTCCCGGGCGTGGAGGACCGTCCCGTGGTGGCGCCACGCGAGCTCTGCTCTCTGGACCACTGGATCCTGCCCAGCAACTGCAGCCGAGTCGAGGTCTGGCGGGAGAAGTGGCTCAGCCTCGCGAAGGCCAGCGCCGTGGAGTGCTTCCTCGACGAGGGGCCCTGGGCCGGCCACCTCGTCGCGCGGCTGCTGCGGCCCAAGATGGAGTACGCGGTGCTCGTGGTGTCCTCGACCTGCATCCTCGTCAATGACACGTCCTGCTCACTGAAGATCCGCCTGTCGGACGACAAGGACTTGAGCCTACCCTGTACCAGCTGCGGGGCCTGGGCGCTGATGAGCGGCACAGATGGCGCCAGGAGCGGCGCCGGCGAGAACGACTTCGCCGAGGAGTCAGAGCAGCCGTGGAACGGCGAGGCGAACAGGGGCGCCGCCCCGGACCCCTTCGGCTCCAAGAACGCCCGTTCCTCCAGGTGCACTGGTGGTTCTGTCTTGGCACCCGGAGAGGTTACCAGCATCCCGGTCCCACCCGATGGTGCCAGCTCGCTGGCGTACGCCAAGACCACCTTCTCGTCAAAGTCGAAGCAATTCTCCAGAAGAAGCGGTTTCGGCCCTCAGCCGAAATCCAACCGGAGCCTGCAGAACATGGCCAAGCGCGGCCTGAACATGCTGTCGGCCAAAAACGTGGGCTCCGGCAGCTCTGGGGCCGTCGAGCACCAGGCCGTGGAAGTCGCGACGGTAGGCGGCGAGTGGACCTCGCTGAGCGAGGCCTCTGTGGGCACCTTGGTCGGCCTGTCCAGCGGCGGCAGCCACTTCCTCGTGACGAAGGAGGCGAGCCGGTCGGGGCCGCCGGCCAGCCTGCCGATGTGCACCATCCGCGTGCTTCCCGCCATCACCATCGAGTCAGGGCTGCCGTGCGACTGCCAAGTGGAGTACCGGCTCCTCTCAGAACCACCCGAAGATGCGCGGCGCGTCGGCGTGGACTCGCTGGGCAAGATCCGCGTCTACGACGTGGCCACGCCGGGGAAAATCGCCCTCAGGATCCGGGTGCAGCACCGGCTATGGAAAGACTCCTGGACCGTGCTCTCCGTGGGCGACGCCAAGGCTCCGGAGGGGAAAAAAAAAACGCGCAGACACAATTCATCCTCGATCCCCCAGAAGATATGGGAAACTATGGGGAGTGGGGGGGAAGACAGAAACCCAGAAGATATGGGAAAACATAGGGGATCCTTTTCTTTGTGTGTCTCTGTCTGTCTGTCCCCTGGGGCTCCCCTTCCGAGGCGGAGGCCAAGGCCCCGGCCCACGGCGGCACGCACAAGGCCCTCGACCGGCTGCTCGGCCACTCCGACGCCGTCGAGGCGGACCTGGCGGGCCCCGCCGGCGCTCACCACCCACCAAACCACCCCAACCCAACCCGAAGGTCTCAGTTTGCCCTCCATTTCCAGTGGGGGGGGGGGGTCGCGGAACATTGAGAAAACACGTACGGTAGGTTTGCGTCGTGTCGACCAGCGGCGACCCCAGCGCGGACGTTCAAGGTTGAACGCCGCCGGCGACCCAGAATCGATCGATGTTGAACGATCGGACGTTGCGGCAGCGGCAGATCGTTCAAGGTTGAACGATCCCTGCGGTGTCAAAAACCAACGCTGGGGTCGGCACGACACGAACCTGCCGTATGGAACCCGTACCCCCCCCAACCCGAAATTCGGGTCTTCGGGTTGGGTTGGGGTGGTCTGGTAGGTAGTCAGGCGCCACGCTGACCGTGTCCTCCCGCAGGCTCTGCACGCACGAGATGGGCACGGAAAGAATGGGTACGATGCCCAACAGCGGATCTGGTTCATTTTGGCCAGGGCTCGCTGTCCACGCCGCCGCGGCCTGTGCCCATTCGTGACAGGAGGCTGCCTGCCCAACAGCGGCCGCTGTTGGTTTGGGACAACATTTACTGTTGGGCATTATACCCATTTTTTCGGTACCCATTTCGGGCGTCCGAACAGGCCAGGATACGTGGTCGTGTACTGCGCCACCTGGCTCTCAGCGAGCGAAGAACGGTAGAAAGTAGACTGTTTCGCTGTCGGGGGCGCCTGTCCCAGGGCGGCTGGAGAGTTTGTACCCCTACGGTGCCACCGTAAGGGGATACACTTTCCAGCCGCCCTGGGACAGGCGCCCCCGACAGCGAAAAAGTTTATTTTATACCGTTATTCGCCCGTTAAGGCTCGTGGACCGAACCGGCTGGCAGGTGTCGGTGCGCCACGGGCGCGAGGAGCTGCCGAGTTATCGCAGCATTGTCTTCGGCACGCATCGCCTGGACGGGCACAGCCTCGAGTGCGATGGCAAGGTCGGGCCGAAGTTCGAGCTCCCGAGCGAGTGGGGTATGGCGAGGCTGGCCGACGGGCGGGCGGCGTGCGTACGGTCGCAGGTCCTCCCGGAGGGCGAGCTGCAGGGTGGCCGAACCACCTGCTTCGAATTGGTGCCCTGGCTCGTGCTGCGCAACGACTCGGAGTGCGACCTGGAGCTCCAGGTGGACGGGAAGCCGGTGCTCGTCAGGCCGAAGAAGCTTGTCACACCTGGCTTCGCGCCCGGGCAGATGCGCATCCGCGTCTGCCCCGACGGGAAGTTCTCCTGCGCGATAGGCCTCGGGAGGGACCTGGCGGGTGCTGTCCCTCTTCTCGTCGGCGGCCAGCCCTGGACGCTGGAGGCCCGTCCGGAGCGCGGTGTGATGTTCCTGTGCTTCATCCAGGGGAGCAGGTACACGATCAAGAACGAGCTCAGGGAGCCGCTAAGCGTGCAGGTCCGGCTGTCCGAGTGGGTCGCCCTTCGCCCTGGCCATGAGATCGGGCTCGCCTGGTTGGACCCTCTCGGGGAGGATGCGGACAAGAAGGTCTGGTGCAAGCTCGGGCTGCCATCTGCGGATGTGGAGAAGATCCCCCTGGACCCGTGCACGGCGCGGCAACAGCGCGTGGGCTCGAAGGCCAAGATCGTGAGCCGGTGGCGTGGCAACCAGACGTGCATGGAGGTCCACGAGGATGTTCCCTCACGCGGTTCACGGCAAGGCTCGATATCGCTGCCAACGAACGACTTCATTACGATGGGGAGTCGCTATCGCAACATGGGGATCACGAAGCTGCGGCTGGAGGTGCTGGTGCCCGAGGTGGGGGTGTCCCTGATGGGCGCCGTGGGCGCCACCCACGAGCTCCTGTACCTGGAGGTCTCGCTGCTGCGGATCTGCCTGGAGGAGCAGCCGAGCCGGGACCTGAGGCTGCTGGAGGCGAGCGTGGGTGATCTGCAGATCGACCACCCCGTGCTCGCCACCCGCAGGGGCGGGAAGGCGGTGGCCTCCACGCGGCGGCCCGTGGTCGTGGGCAACTGCGGCCACTCGAAGACCTCCGTGTACCCCTTCTTCCGCCTCGTCGCGGAGCAGGGTCGCACGCGGTCTCAAGACCTCCTCCTCAAGGCCATCCGCGTCGAGATCGACGAGGTCGAGCTCACCGTCGGCGACGGCCTCCTGGCGGCGCTCCAGGAGTTCGCGCTCGCCACGCGGCCCCCCGCCTCCCTGGTCGCGATGCTGGGGGGCGCGGGAGGCAGCGCCGTGGCCGAGGTGCTGGACAGGGCAGGCACCCCCGCGATCGAGAGGGGCTGGGTGGACCCCGTGATGCAGCAGGCCATCCAGGTGGAGGAGATGCGGGTGTCGAGCATCGCGCTGCACGTATGGTGCTCCATCAACCACCAATTCCTGAAGCTGCCGAAGTGGCAGTCCATGTTCCTCACTGCCCTCACCTTCTCGAGCCACCTCGGGCTGGACGGCTCCACGCTGAGGCTGAAGGCCAAGGAGATCCGCGGCGCCCGTGGCTCCGCGCCAGACGTGGCGCAGTGCCTCGGGCTGGAGTACGTGGGCGACATCTTCCAGTCGCTTGGGTCCGTGCTGGGCAACTCCAGCCTGCTGAACATCCCACGGGCGCCGATCCTGGTGGGCGTGCGCGTGGGCGACGCGGCGATGCGCGGCGCCGCGCGGACGGTCAGCAAGGCCACCAGGAGAACGAACGGGCTGTTCGGGAAGCGCGCGTCCAACGAGGGCCGCGAGGAGAAGCCGCCCGACGTCGACGAGCAGGCGGGCGGCGGCCCAGCCATCGGCGCCGCCAGGGCGCAGAAGGTGACGAACCCCGCCCGGCTGCCCCGCCACTTTGCCGGCCCGCTCGGCGCCGTCTGCGAGTACTCGGCGCTGGAGGCCATGCTGGCAGAGGCCCTGCCGTGGCCGATCGAGGTTCAGGAGGGGAAAAAACACACAGACACAATTAATCGTCGATTCCCACAACATGTGGGAAAGTGTGGGAAGTGGGCTGGAAGACAGAAACCCAGAAAAGATGGGAAAATGTGAGGCATCCTGTTAGTGATTTGTGTGTGTGTGTGTCTTTCTTCGTGTGCCCCAGGGCCCCTTCAGAGGTGGCCGTGCCGCTGAGGTTCACCGGCGCCGTGGACGGCCGCGGGCGGCAGCTGCTGCGGGTCCTCTTGGCGGCGCGCACAAGGGGGTGGGGGGAGGGGGGAGGGCTTCCCAGAAGGAGGCTGCTCCCTAGAAGGCGCCGGCCCCACATCTATAGAGAAGGCCCGCGCCTTCGAAGAAGCAGGGGTGCCTCCTCCTCCTCCTCCTCCTCCTCCTCCTCCTCCTCCTCCTCCTCCTCCTCTCCTCCTTCCTCCCCCTCCTCCTCCTCCTCCTCCTCCTCCTTCCTCCTCCTCCTCCTCCTCCTCCTCCTCCTCCTCCTCCTCTCCTCCTCCTCCTCCTCCTCCTTCTCCTCCTCCTCCTCCTCCCCCCCTCCTCCTCCTCCTCCTCCTCCTCCTCCTCCTCCTCCTCCTCCCTCCTCCTCCCTCCTCCTCCTCCTCCTCCTCCTCCTCCTCCTCCTCCTCCTCCTCCTCCTCCTCCTCCTCCTCCTCCTCCTCCTCCTCCCCCCTCCTCCTCCTCCTCCTCCTCCTCCTCCTCCTCCTCCTCCTCCTCCTCCTCCTCCTCCTCCTCCTCCTCCTCCTCCTCCTCCTCCTCCTCCTCCTCCTCCGCCTCCTCCTCCCTCCTCCTCCTCCTCCTCGTCCTCCTCCTCCTCCTCCTCCTCCTCCTCCTCCCCCCACCCCCCTCTGCGCGTGGCCAGCCCTCGCGCTCTCGGCGGGCGGGGCGAGCGTCGTGGACGTGGAGCGGCCGGAGCACCGCGCCCACGACGGCGGCAGCGTCTGCGGAGAGGCGGCCCTCGCCGCGTGCCTCGCCGAGGAGCGGGCCGGGCGAGAGGGGGGGATTGGGAAAGGGGGGGGGTCAGAGGAGGAGGAGGAGGAGGAGGAGGAGGAGGAGGAGACGAGGAGGAGAGGAGGAGGGAGGAGGAGGAGGAGGAGGAGGAAAGGAGAGGAGGAGGGGAGGAGGAGGGGGAGGAGAGGAGGAGGAGGGAGGGGGAGAGAGGAGGGAGGAGGAGGAGGAGGAGGAGGAGGAGGAGGAGGAGGAGGAGGAGGAGGATGAGGAGGAGGAGGAGGAGGGGAAGAGAGAGGAGGAGGAGGAGAGGAGGAGGAGGAGAGGAGGAGGAGGAGGAGGAGGAGGAGAGAGGAGGAGGAGGAGGAGGAGGAGGAGGAGGAGGAGGAGGAGGAGAGGAGGAGGGAGGAGGAGGAGGAGGAGGGAGGAGGAGAAGGAGAAGGAGGAGGGGGAGGAGGAGGCGAAATTTGCTGCATGCAGCCGGTTTCGGCCTCACCGAGGGGCCCGTTCCTCGATACATGGCCGCCCCCGGCGCCGGGAGGCGCCGGGAAAATCCGCTGCGCGAGCTGCTTCTCACCCCCCCTTTGCTATCCCCCCCTTTCGCCCGACCCGAGAGGAGCCGCGGGAGCCGGGCGAGTCGAGCTCGGGCGAGGTTTCCGACGGCGGCGGTGGCGGCGGCGCCTTGGCGACGCCCCGCCAGGTGCAGGACAGCCCCCGCAAGATGGACGAGCTCTCGAGATCAAGCGCAAGCAAGTCGATGATGGACATCGCGCTGAATGCCTGCAGTAAGACGTCGACGGGCTCGAACCAGGAGCCGCTCGTGACCACCGTGGCGTCCTGCGGTGGGTTCCTGCACAGTGTCGAGAGGAGCGGGCCCAGGATACGGATCCAGACCAAGGAGAACGAGAAATCCACCGAGATCCAGCGCTTCAGCGTCCGGGTGCCGAAGCTGACTCCGCAGGGCTCCGTGACCGAGGACACCGCCGCCGCCGTGGATGCCATCGGCGACGCCCTGTTCCACTCCCTCCAGAGCGCGTCCCGAGAGCAGGACGAGGATCAGGAGGGGAAAAAACACGCAGACACAATTAATCGGCGACTCCCCAGAAAATATAGGAAAATACGGGAAATGGGCGGTAAGACAAAAACCCAGAAAATATAGGAAATGTGGGGAATCCTTTTATTTGTGTGTCTTTATCTGTGTGTCCCGGGGCCCCTTCCGAGGACACGTGGGGCGACGACTGGGCCAGGGCCGTGCGGGAGGCGGTGTCGCGCGCGAGGGCCCGCGCGACCTTCCACGGCACGGGCCCCGCTGCCGGCGGGGGGAGCGCCACCACGAAGCGCTGCATCGTCTTCGAGGGGCAGTCGGGCCGGACGAAAGGGGGGGATTGGGAAAGGGGGGGTTACGAAATCTGCTGCATGCAGCTGGCTTCGGCCCCACCGAGGGGCCCATTCCTCGATACCTTGCCGCCTCCGGCGCCGGGAGGCGCCAGGAAAATCAGCTACGTGAGCTGATTCTGAAACCACTCCTTTGCTATCCCCCCTTTCGCCCGACCCGAGGCAGCTGCTGAGCAAGATCGGAGGCTTCCGGCCCCTGCCGTCGACGCGAAGGTCGCCGACGCACAGGTGTCAGGAGGGGAAAAAACACACAGGCACAACAATGAAAGATCGATTCCCCAGAAGACATGGGAACATATGGGAAGTGGGCGGGAAGACAGAAGCCCAGAAAATATGGGAAAATACGGGGCATCTGTTTATTTGTGTGTATTCATTGGTGTGTCCCAGGGCCCCTTCAACCCAGACCCCCGACGTCGTGATTTTTTCATGACGTCGACCCCCAGAGGTCTGGACCCTTTCCCCGGGACCGGTTTTTCATCCTGAGTCGTTTTTTGACGCTCCCGCGGCCTGGTGAGGACCTCCAGAGGGGGAAAATAGAGAAAAACCCTCCGTCGTGATTTTTTCACGACGCGAGGGGGTCTGGGAAGGTGGATGGACAAGAGCCTGGCCAACGGGCACCCTCTCCTGGACCCCAGAGCGGACCTGGGCGGCGCCCGGCAGCCCCCGGTGGTCCTCCCGCCGATGTGGGTCGCGGAGAGCGGGTGGCGCGTCGCCGTGGGCGAGAGCACCGACGCGGACGGCTGGGCCTACGGCAAGAGCTTCAAGTCCTACGCCGGCGGCGGCCACGACTTCGAGGCGTACGGCAGGCAGTTCCAGAAGGCCGCTCGCCCGCTCGTCCACCGCGTGCGGGTGCGCCGGTGGGAGCGGGACTACCGCCTGGATCTCACCGCGAGCATCGCCCACAGGTCGGCAACACCCCAACATACTTATACTATATGTGCGTCGCCCCCCCAGGGGCGACGCGCGCACCGAGAAATCTGATAGTACATGCGTCGTGGCGGGCGCTTTCTGGCCACGCCGCTCGGGAAACGATATACTACAAGATGGGTATACTATATGTTCGGGTCGGACGCGCGCCTCCAAGGAGGACATATAGTACTAGTATGTCCATGTGCGTCAGGGAGTTCGTGGACGAGACCTGGCTGCAGCACTCGAGGGCCTCCCCGAAGAGGGCGTGGCTGCCGTGCTGTGCAGGTCGCGGAGCCGCCCCGTCCTCGCCGCGGGAGGAGCCCCTGGCGGCCGTCGGTGGTCAGGACGACTCACCCCGCGCGGTGCAAAGCAGCTGACTCTGGGCCTCCTGGACGGGGTCGGAGCAGATGTGGTCGGAGGATCGCGCCGCATCGCCGATGCATCGGCGATGCGGCTCGATGTGGGGCCCAATTTTCTCCACGCCGACGTCGCCGACGCATCGCCGACGCCGCCGGCGCATCGCCAATGCATCGCCGACGCATCGGCGATGCATCGCCGATGTATCGGCGATGCGGCGACATCCTCCGACCCCATCTACTCGGACCTCATCTAGGAGGCCTCTACTGACGGCGCCCTGGCCCGCGATTGTATCACCCCCGCGCTTGTTCGGGCCGCGGCAGCCATCGCTGTATCACCCCCGCGCTTGTTCGGGCCGCGGCAGCCATCGCCCAAAAGGCGGATGTCTAGCATGAAGGTGTGCTGAGGATGTGTTGCGTGAAACGCTTGGTTTCACGCGTCCGGGTCGCCCCGGCGGATGTTTGACATGAGGACATGTCGAGGATGCCTCGAGAGGCGCTTGTTTTCACGTGTCCAGATCGCCCTGGCGGATGTCTAGCATGAGGATGTGTTGAGGATGTGTTCGTCGAAACGCTTGGTTTCACGTGTCCAGGTCGCCCAGACGGATGTCCAACATGAGGATTTGGGCAGGATGTCTCGAGCGAAACGCTTGGTTGGACGTGTCCAGGTCGCTCAAACAGATGTCTAGCATGAGGAGGTGTTGAGAACGTCTCGAGCGAGACGCTTGGTTTCACGTGTCCAGATCGCCCAGGCGGATGTCTAACATGAGGATTTGTTGAGGATATCTCGAGCGAAGCGCTTGACGCAGTAGAGTGCGTCGCAGTCCAACCCCGCCCGTCCGTAGGGCGTCGCCTGGCGCCCTGGCGTGCCCCCTGGTGCGTCCCTTGCGACGTTCTGGCGTGACGTGCCCTCGCACGTCCCCTTGGCATGTTTCCTTGCTCGTCCTCTGTCGCGTTTCCTTGCTCGTCCCCAGGCGTTTCCCCTGCCCGTTCCGTGGCGGGCCCCTTGCAACGTCCCCTGGCATGACGTCCCCTGGCCGCCCCATGGCACGCGCTTTGGCACGTCCCGTGGCAGGTCCCTGACATGTCCAGGGCACGTTCCCTGATGCGTCCCCTGACACATCCTGTGGCGCGTCCGTGAGCCTGTGCCCCGTGTCGTGTCGTTCCTTGTCGGAGCTGAGTTGGATTTTGAGGTCGAGTTGATTGAACGTCCTCCACGTTTCCACTCCAACTAGCTCTGGGGTGGCTGTTATATGCTCAGGCAGCTCGAGCTTAAAATCCAGATCAGTTCGGTCAGGACTCGAATGCTAAGGAGGACTCGATCCACAACGCTAGTTATAGAGCACAATCGCGGCATGGCACATCGCAGTTCAGTACGGCACGGCACAGCACAGCCTTTGGCATGGTACATCAGAATTGCAATTGTCCGTCGCCTAGTCAGGTGTATTGAAGACGTTGTCATGCTTCACATTTCTATATCCCTTTCTGGGTTCGTAGGTCGATCGACGTGTCCCGAGCAAACGCTTGTTTCGCATACTTTGATGAGGATGTCTCGAGCGAAACGGTCGTTTTGCAGAGTTGGGCCTCGAATCCTGTGTGTTTAGGCATGTTTCTGCATATTTCCCGTCCCCTGAGCAAGTTAGCAAGGTTCCAGGAGGCCACAGGAGGCCCCAGGAGGCCCCAGGGGCAAAAAGTGGTTCTCCGGGAAAAGGGTTGGTTCCCCGGGAAATCGGTTGGTTCTCTGGGTGAACGTGGCCAAGTGCCGAGTCGGTTGGTTCTCTGGGTGAGACCCTTGCAGGGTCCCCCCCCCCACCAAATTATCCCGGCAAAGCAACCTAACAGCCATGTGTAGGAGCATCTCTGGGTCGAACAGCATGTCGATGTATCATATGCACTAACTTAAAGCGGGCGCGTTACGTTAGGAGGAGGGATCAAGGAGAGGAGGCCGGCGAGGGGGGGGCTGTGCCCATCCGAGGGAACGGGGCAGCCCCCCCCGCCCCAAAAAATGCTTCGGCCTCTCAAGGCCCCCCCCGCTCCACGAATCCCATTGGGGGGTCGAGATCCCCGCTCTGCAGTGGGATTCGCGGAACGGGGCGCCCCCCAGGTGCTTGTTATCTTCGCGCTGGCGCCGGCAGTGTGCACCTGAGGGAGCGCGGGTTGAAATGAGTGAGGGATCAGGAAGGATGTGGAGGGGCGTTCCGCTCTGAAGCGTCCTCACAATCTGGCAAAACCGCAACCCCTCCCCGGGGGCACCGCGCGTGCTGGACCAGGCACATGCGTCGCCCTAAGTCGGCGCGCACATATGAGAGGCCCATGTTTGTGTGTCTGTCCCCCAGGAAGGCCCGACATGGCCAGCAGAAGACCCGAATAATTCGTCCGGTGTGTCTGTCCCCCAGGAAGGCCCGACGTGGCGAGCAGAAGGCCCGAATAATTCGTCCGAGGGGCTCCCCAGAGGGGCTCCCCAGAAGGGCGCAGGGAGCCTTCCTCAGAGCCCTGGTGTGCACGACCTTGGCCGAAGGCCATCAGATATGCAAGTACAACAGTTCATGCAGGAATCTCTTGTGCATGTGCTGGTGCCACTGCTGCGAGCAGGCAGTGGAACGAGCGAGGAGGGGGTATCAACCTTGACCGCCCGCCCCCGCCCCCTTCCCTTGACCGCGCTCCGCGGCCGGGCGCAAGCGCGGCCGGTCGGGGCAGCCGGCCGGGGCAGCCGGCCGGGGCAGCCGGCCGCCCTCCCCTCCTGCTCGTCGTCCTCCTCCTCCTCCTCCTGCTCGTCCTCGTGCTCCTCCTGCTCGTCCTCTTTCTCCTGCTCCTCCTCCTCCTCCTCCTCCTCTTTCTCCTGCTCCTCCTCCTCCTCCTCCTCCTCCTCTTCCTCCTGCTCGTCCTCGTTCTCGTCCTCCTCGTCTTGCTCGTCCTCCTCCTCCTGGTGCTCTCTCCTCCTCCTCCTCCTCCCCTCCTCCTCCTCCTCCTCCTCCTGGTGGTCCTCGTTCTCCTCCTCCTGGTGCTCCCCCCCAGGTGCAGCTCCTCCTCCCCCCCGTCCTCCCCCTCCTCCTTCTCCTCCTCCTCCTCCTCCTCCTCCTCCTCCCCCTCCTCCTCCCCCTCCTCCTCCCGTTCCTCCTCCTCCTCCTCCTCCTCCTCCTCCTCCTCCTCCTCCTCCTCCTCCTGGTAGTCCTCCCCCTCCCCTCCTCCTCCTCCTCATCCTCCTCTTCCTGGTCGTCCTCGTTCTCGTCCTCCTCGTCTTGCTCGTCCTCCTCCTCCTGGTGTTCTCTCCTCCTCCTCCTCCTCCTCCTCCTCCTCCTCCTCCTCCTCCTCCTCCTCCTCCTCCTCCTGGTGGTCCTCGTTCTCCTCCTCCTGGTGCTCTCCCCCCACCTCCTCCTCCTCGTCCTCCTCCTCCTCCTCCTCCTCGTCCTCCTCCTCCTCTTCCTCCTCCTCCTCCTCCTCCTCCTCCTCCTCCTCCTCCTCCTCCTCCTCCTCCTCCTCCTCCTCCTCCTGGTACTCCTCCCCCTCCCCTCCTCCTCCTCTTCCTCCTCTTCCTGGTCGTCCTCCTCCTCCTGGTCGTCCTCCTCCTCCTGCTCGTCCTCCTCCTCCTCCTGCTCGTCCTTCTTCTCCTGCTCCTCCTGTTCCTCGTCCTGCTCCTGCTCGTCCTCGTCCTCCTGGTCTTGCTCGTCCTCCTCCTCGTCGTGCTCTTGCCCCTGCTGAAAATGTGGCCCAGGAATGGGAGTTCTGGGAAGTCGAAGAGCACGAAGTTGCCTACAGTTGGCTACGGGCATTCAAACTGTGGCCCGGGAATGGAGTTCTGGGAACTCGAAGAGCACGAAGTGGCCTACAGTTGGCTCCGGGCATTCAAATGTGGCCCGGGAATGGAGTTCTGGGGACTCGAAGACCACGAAGTGGCCTACAGTTGGCTCCGGGCATTCAAAATGTGGCCCGGGAATGGAGTTCTGGGAAGTCGAAGAGCACGAAGTGGCCTACAGTTGGCTCCGGGCATTCAAAATGTGGCCCGGGAATGGTGTTCTGGGAAGTCCAAGAGCACGAAGTGGCCTACAGTTGGCTCCGGGCATTCAAAATGTGGCCCGGGAGTGGAGTTCTGGGAGGTCGAAGAGCACGAAGTGTGTGACTGTTTGCTTAAAACGACTTCTGCGGCACCCTGTCCGGCACCCGCCCGGACCCCCCTGTGGAGTGATCTGTGAGCTCTTTTGAATCAACTAGAAACCTATCAGTCTTCGCTGTTAGGTAATTATCCCGGCAAAGCAACCTAACAGCGATGTGTAGAAGCATATCTGAAAGCATTCCCCTTAAGATTCAGATGAGAATCCAGTTGTAGAATTGTGCTGTTCTCGCAGTCGTAGTCGCATTCGCGATGACAGTCGCAGTGGCAACGGCAGTCACAGACACAGCCTCAGCCTCAGCCTGCCTCAGCCTCAGCCTGCCTCAGCCTCAGCCTCAGCCTGCCTCAGCCTCAGCCTCAGCCTGCTTCAGCCCCAGCCTCAGTCTGCCTTCAGCCTCGGCCTCAGCCTCAAGGCTGCCTCAGCCTCAGCCTGCATCAGCCTCAGCCTCAGCCTCAGCCTGCCTCAGCCTCAGCCTGCCTCAGCCTCAGCTCAGCCTGCCTCAAGCTTCAAAATGTGGCCCGGGAAATGGGAGTTCTTGGAATCTAAAGAACACGAAGTGGCCTACAGTTGGGCTCCGGGCAATTTCAAATCATGCCCAGAATGGGTGTTTTTGGGACTCGAAGACCACGAAGTGGCCTACATTGGCTCCGGGCATCCAAAATCTGGCCCGGGAATGAAGTTCTGGGAACTCGAAGACCACGAAGTGGCCTACAGTTGGCTCCGGGCATCCAAAATGTGGCCCGGGACTAGAGTTCTGGGAACTCGAAGAGCACGAAGTGGCTTACAGTTGGCTCCGGGCATTCAAAATGTGGCCCGGGAGTGGAGTTTTGGGGACTCGAAGACCACGAAGTGGCCTACAGTTGGCTCCGGGCATTCAAAATGTGGCCCGGGAATGGAGTTCTGGGAAGTCGA